GGGGGGGGGGGGGGGGGGGTGGAGATAGATGGAAGTGTTGAGACGGAGAGAGATAGGAGCGAGAGAGAGAGAAAGACGCAAGAACAGAGGAGAGGGAGCAGTGACACCTACGAAGCCTTCATCGCAACACAGGCGATACATATATAAGTATATATCGAGAGAGAGATGGCAGACGAAAAAGGCACGGGGGAGAGCAGGGGAGCGGGCGAGGGAGAGGCGTTGAGCTGAAGAATCAAATAAGGGCCGGTCCCTTTGACCCCGAACAGTCCATGGTCATCGGTACGTGCTTCTTTTCAAGCACCCCAACCCCCCCCATCCCCCCCACCTGCGCCCCTAAACTTCATGCCCCAATTGATCTCCAAGGTCGCCTCTCGGCTCGGGTTTGGCACGTTGCTTGTCAATGGCGACGCTAGCAGCGGGGGGCAGGGTGCTGGAAACGGCGCCCTGTCGCTGGAGCGTGCTCTGGCTTGTTTTGTCGGAGCTATTCCGCACCCGAGGGACTGGCAGGTGTGCATTGTCGACGTCGCACGCGTGCCGTCTGGTTATTGTCGTCGTCGTAGTCGTCGTCGTCGTTGTTGTTGTCGTTGTTGCTGTTGATGATGATGATGATGATGATGATGATTGTTGGTGTTGTTGATGATGATGATGATGATGATGATGATTGTTGGTGTTGTTGTTGATGATGATGATGATGATGATGGTGATTGTTGGTGTTGTTGTTGATGATGATGATGATGATGATTGTTGGTGTTGTTGTTGTTGTTGTTGATGATGATGATGATGATGATGATGATGATTGTTGGTGTTGTTGTTGTTGATGATGATGATGATTGTTGGTGTTGTTGTTGTTGTTGATTATGATGATGATTGTTGATGATGATTGTTGTTGATTATGATGATGGTGATTGTTGGTGTTGTTGTTGATGATGATGATGATGATGATTGTTGGTGTTGTTGTTGATGATGATGATGATGATGATGGTGATTGTTGGTGTTGTTGTTGATGATGATGATGATGGTTGTTGTTGTTGTTGTTGCTGTTGCTGCTGCTGTTGCTGTTGTTCTAGCTGTTGTTGGGATTGAATGTTGTCGTCGTCGGTAGTTTTGTTGTTTTGGTTGGGCAGCGGTGATGGTGGTGGCCGCGCAGCCACATTGTACTGGTATGGAGTTTTCGTTACTTTTGGAGTCTTTGGTGTTGTGCTTGAGGGCATCAGAAACATAATCTGGGAACAGTGAACTCTTACGAAAATGAAACTTTCGCACGCGAGGTGGTTCGCACGAGCCGTGGAATATATTCACAGCATGCACGATTCATTGAACCTGACGTTTGGGCCGCCCAGATCATAACAGGAGGCGCACACGACTTCTCGATCAGAGCGCGAATGCTTTATGAACGCCGACCGTGTCAACGATGCGCCGGCACGATTTTTGTTGTTGTTGTTGTCACCCGCGAACTGGAGCCTCAGCCGTTCGCTTCGCCGTGATTGCCTTCGACGCATGAAAATCACCAACCGACTGGCAGTTCTCCGATTCGAAGTACCTCCGGAGCAAGAACGCCGTGGACAGGGTCTCCAGAAGCAAGGAAGTCTGGGTCCGGCTAGAAGAAGAGGTGATGGTAAAAACCTGCAGTGATGGGCGGTGGCTGAGGACCCACTCTCTTTTTTTTTATTTCATTGTCGTTCCTGTATACGCCTGTATTGTGCCGCTTTGTGTCGGAGGATTGGGGTCCCTGAGGGTTTCCGCCGCTCGTATGTTTTTACCACCGCTTGTTGTTTCTTTGCTGCGGCTTGGCCTTACCCTCAACCCAGTAGTTGCGTGAGTGTTAGCCCTCGTCTGAACGACGTTAGCCGCAATAACGCTAAATCCCAACCATGAGTTGAAGGTGTAAGGTGGACTGGAAGCCGAACTGTTGTTAAGGTGCGTTTTGCTGATTTTTTCTCCGTCGAGTTCCTCCGCATTTTTGAAGGTGCGGTGACTCGTGGTGGGTGCCTTCGAAAAAACATGCTCTTGGGCCGAGTTTCTCCGCATTGCTTTTTTGGAACTGCAGTGCAACTCCTGGTGATGTTTTTTAGTTCGCTCTCTGGTTGGGCAGGTTCTCGCGCTAGGTCTCGGGGAGGGAGACACGCTGCGCGTGGCCGACCTCGGGTGCGGCCTGCTTCCCCTCCTGCGGGAGTTCCGGTCCCTCGCCAGGGCGTGCGGGGTCCGGAGACTGGAGTACTGCGGGCTGGAGAAGGAGGAGAGCGTAGCCAAGGAGGCTTGTGAGGTAGGACAGGGGACAGGGGACACGGGGTACAGTAGATAGAGGGAGAATCGCGAAGGAGGCGTTTGAGGTGAAGAAGGGGACAAAGGGGTAGAGAGAGAGCGGCGACAGGGGGGCGTTCGGGGTGACACATGGGTAAGAGAGAGAGAGAGAGAGACAGACAGACAGAGAGAGACAGAGAGAGATCATCGGCAAAGAGGCTTTTGAGGTAAGGAGGAGGACACAGGGCTGGAAGACTTTAGCGTCCTCGGCCCGGTGAGAGCATAGAAGAGGTGAAACTGCTGCTGCTGAACCCCGGGGGGGGCGGGGGGCATGCCGGAAGAGGGTCATGGCGTACCGTGCTCGCTCCCTCCGATTTTGGGTGCAAAGTTGTACAAGGGTTTCCGAATGCACAGCGGCAGCGATTTGGTCGGACGTTGAGTACCGGGACACGACCACAACCCCCGCCGGGCTAGCCGCACTGCACGCGCCACACAGGCCAGAGTTTCATTCTGTTTTTTTTTGTGTGGTGATACGTTTTACCTCGGTTTTTTGCCGAAAGAAAAACCTTCGCTGAATACATCGAACAGAGTTCGCATTCATCGTGAACTTTCTGACCCCTTCTCCCTCCCCCTCACACTGCCCCCCCCCCCCCCGTTATTTTCTCAAGGGCCTGCTGGGTGAGGGTTATGCCGTCGTCGTTGACGGTGCGGGGGCTAGTCCCTTCGGGCGGTGAGGGCGACTTGCTGTGGCGGTTGGCTATTTGCCGGGATGAGGAATCAGGTGTGCGACGTTCTCGCTAGACCTCATGGTATCATGATGTCCGTCTGTCCAGGGCAATGTGGTGAAATCATTCTGTCCACAGCTTTCAGTTCCCTAACCAACGTAGGCACCGTCATTGCCTCCTCAGGTCATTTTTGTTTTTTTCCAGATTGTCAAGTGGCAGTTGCGTGAGTGGTTTGAACGATGTTGACGTCGTCCGGAAACATCGTCCTTAGGGCCTTGATTCTCGGGATGTGTTGTTTTTTTCGCACCCAGAACAATACCTCGGAGGGGATTCTATGTATATACTATACTGCTTGTCGCGCACTATTTTGAGGCCAGGACGGACGGCTCTCTATCACGAAAGAAACCGAGTAAGTTTGTTTTTTTGGTCCTCTCAGTGTAGAGGTAGGAGCAAGGGAAGAACGAAGAGGAGCAACAGCGGTTTCCACAGCTGTCTGTCTGCGTCTCCAGGCCTTTTACTCACTGTCGGTGCTGTCGGCATTTGGAACCACTGCCACCACCAGCCCAAGAGATCGCAGACATATGTGCGTAGATTTGTTTTCGGGAAGCACTTTGCGTCGGAGAGCACCACGTTTTTCATGCACGTCGGTTGGGCATTCAGGAATAACGCGGACACGACACCAGAGCACCAGGAACATGCTTGGATTGTTTTATCTCTCTTTTTGTGTCATTTCCATCACCGAATTGCCCCTGCCCTGGCTCTCTCCCGTATCACTCTCTCTCTCTCTCTCTCTCTCTCTGTCTCTCTCTACTGACCCACTCTCCTTTCCCCTTGCCACCCGCCGTCTTGACGCGTCTGTACCATCGTCTACCCCCCCCCCCCCC